TACTAATATACACATGAGCGGTTGTGGCATCCTGCAACCAAGTGTGTCGATCTTCTTATTGTTGTTATCTTCATTTTCTTTTAAAATGGATCCGAATTAGCTTATGCTCAACTGATCAACATGTCAAATAAGAGGTTCAATACAATTCCCTTCACCAAAAAAAATATACAAGATCTCTATTAATTCCAATTCATATTGCATAAATGGTTTTCTTCTTCATGTAAACGGTTGAATTTCTAACATGATCAGTAAATATCTAATGATAATAGTAAAAGGAGTTCAAATCGCAGATGCAAATTGTTGGCATAGAATTGAAACCACTATGTAAGTCATCATATAGGGAATTTAAAAAGGAACAATAATTAACTCCTTAACTTAATTCTCATCCTTTTCCTTTTTCCCTTAAAATTATCTGGATGTATTTTGGGCTCTGACAAAGTAGAAGCACTTTCCTTCACACTAACTGTGAACCTCACCCATGCTATTTTTTTCTTCCTGTTATGGTATCAAAGTATTTGTATATCTCTGCTTCAGGATCTATTTTTTTGCGAGAGGTTTGAAAGTCACTTGATGGTAAGAAGAGGAGATCATTCTCGATTTTTGATGCTTCACTATCCAATTTCTGCTTAGTAGGATAGGTCAGTCACTCCATCAACATTGCCGTTAAACAATACGTAGTCATTGATTTGTGTTTGGAAAGTTTTTTCTAATATCCGCAAGAAAAAAGAAATTATTTTTGACTATTTTTTATTTTAAGAAAAATTGAAGCACACATAGAAAAAACAACAACGAGAAAACATATACTAATACACAGAGCAAAATATGTTTAAACATGCCAAGTAAACAAAAACCTTATATAACCACTAAATCCTCAATCAACACTCCAACAATTTTTAATAATCCGATACAATACAATATCACCATATCCAATATTGCATAGTTACCTCCACATAACCTGAAACATCAGAACTATCCCGAATTAAGTGTACTGATCTTGAAAAACAATAATCTTGATGCTGATATAGTTGACACCCAATAATGAGGTGTCGTTATAGGATCGATAACACAACATCGTCACTCAAAATCTCCCATTCATCAATAGTCATGTTTTGACCGATTATGAAATCATCAAAAAGATGTATTCCACTCTCCATAATATATATATTATCAATTTTCAAAATAGATATTTATAGATATTTGAATTTGATATAGATGGTGGAGGGTCGGTACAAGCCTAACATCGAAAAAGGTTTGCATCTATAGGACTGCAATACAATCACAAACAAAATGAGTTAAACATATATATATATATAGGATCCCTGGCCAATATATATTATTATTTTTATTCAAATGGTTTTCAGAAATATTTTAAGTTATTAATTGTTCTGATTTATAATATTTTTATGTGGCACGATAGAATTTTAACAATTAATTATTTTTTATGTTTTAAATATTTAAAATTGTTAATTATTGTAATTTGAAGTACATTTTACGTAATTTTTAAATAATATATGTTACTTCTCATGTCCCAATTTGTATGAAATTGATATAATCTTTTAAATATTTGAAGTTGCTAATTATTGTAATTTAAAGTACATTTTATGTAATTTTTAAATAATATATGTTACTTCTGATGTCCCAATTTATATGACATTAATATAATTTCGAGAATCAGCCAAAAATTTTACATGAAATAATAACTTTATTATCTTAAATTTTATTAATTAATTTTATTTTACATGAAATAATATTTTTTCTGCACACACTAACAACAAAGAAAGCCCAAAATAGCTAAACATTACATCTGAATGTGTGGGGTCCGAGTAAATCTTAGTATCAACACTTAGATACCTTTTTTGACATTTTATAAAGGTTCAAATTTCAGTATATTTACGGATGTGCATCAATGAATTTATTGTAAAATGATGCAAACGAAGGGTAGAGTTTGAAAAAATACTGCTGCCAAACCAACAAAAAAACATAACAGGGATTAGAAGAAAAAATAATGACACAGACAACTTTCAAATAAATCGTACAAACAATTAAAGCAAAAAGTAAAAAGTAGAATTAGCTAGTAAATTACCAACTTACCCTTGTTTAGAAAGCAAGCATGTCGACGAACAGCTACATCCTAGACTCTTCTACATATTAGTATATATATTTTTTATTTTATTTTTAAAAATGAAAACACATAAAAAAACATGCAAATACATCAATAAGAAGAAGAAAAAATGTTGCATCTACATACCAAACGTCCGTCGAAATGTCGGGTATCTAAATTGAACGAATGAATCCACTCAAAAGCTAAAATTCCCATTTCTACATACTCGAAGAACATGTTATTTGTCTTTCTTTCTTTCAAAATAAAAGCAACACTGAACAATCCTACTGTGAGAGCAAACTTGACATGCTGATGGCAGAGCATCCACACAACAGGTTGCACATCTATATTTTGTTTGATATTACATTTATTAGTTAAATTTAAAAAAATGATATATATTTTTATTTAAAAATAAATTAACTTTAATTTTTTAGGATAAAATCAAAAATATCATTAAATTATATGAAATTAAATAAAATGTACTTAATTAATAGTTTGATTTTAAAATGTATTTGTTGTCAATAATTTGGTCCAAAATTTTCAATAAAAGACACGTATTCTTTTGTATTTTTATACTTATGTCTTATAGTATACTATGCTTAAAAATAAGGAAAAATTATCTAACTACACATCATTTATTATCATATTTTCTCTACCATTTCAAAAAATATCAAAAATTCCATCTTTTTCTCCCATCACCTCCTTTTTCGGATACATTAATTTGAAATCCCATATACCCATGATTTTCTTTCCTTTTTTCAAGCCACAAATCTCTCTATAGTTACCTACATTAATCCATTTTTGAATTTCAAATCTTTTCTCTTTTTAATTCATCATTTCAAGTTATTCAAGAGATAGATTTCTTTTCATCACTTCAATTTTCAATTTTTTTTATTTTTTTTTATTTTTTCATCTTAAAAACTAAATAATAATAATTGTGATTGATTAAGCATAGACAAAAGGATCTCCTAAACACATATGTGACGACGAGATATGGGCAAGTAGTTGTAATTGCTAACATAATGCCAAAATAAGCTTTTTGTTGTCAGTTTTTCATCTGTTTATTGATCATCAATCTTATGACATAATTTCTGGTCTTTTTACCGGAAGAGGGGTGGAAAGCGTTGCTAATGCAGAGAGTTCATCTTGGAGTGCATTTGAAATTGTTTCAGGAATTTCTAATGGTGGTCTTGATACACTTCATTTCATTGGTTCGATCTTTCAGTATTAGGCTTAACCAATTAGTCCGAGAAGGATACATCTTCATTGCTTTCCGTTGATTAGATTGTTGATTTTTTTTCTCGATTTTTTGGTTGTTCATCTTTTCTGATACATATAGGTTCAGATTTTTAATGTATCTAGTTAATTTTGTTTCTTAAACTAATGTATACTGCCTTCGTTTCAACATTATGATACATTACAATTCTATCTTGCATAATGTATCATGTTCAAATATTAGTTTTGATACATAACCTTAATTAGTATTGATTCTTGATACAAAAATTCTACCAAATGTATCATTTATCATGTATCAGCCCTTCCATCTACAAATTCCTGATACATATGGATTGTGCTCTCAAACAAAATAAGTTACATAAATAATAATGTACCATGCACTAAATTTTTAGGCATGATATGTAAATTCAAATTTATACTAAATGTATCTTATCTACATAACAATTACCAAACAATAATGTATCGATATCAAACCTAACATCTTATGGGCAATATTTTTTATTTAATGTATCTAGTAAAAATACAACACTTGTCAATTTAAACAAGATACCTAGACAGTACTAATATATTGATAAATCTATCCATCTCGGAAACGAAATTCAAAAAACGGTTTCACAAAATTATGAACGATATGAATTCCATCACTTTTGTATCCTTTACAAAAGGAAATCGTTTGTCCAACAACAATTCGATCCATCACTTTTGTATCCTTCATAACTCACCTCTCTAACCCAAAATTTCGACAAAAGTTTTTGAATCAAATCTGAAAGGTTTCTTCGCTGAACAGAGGGGAGCAATTTCAAATTTTGAATTTCCTCGTTTTGGATTTGCCTATATATAATTGAAAGTAAGAAGAAACGTAAGCGTAATTTATGGGATTTAATTAGATTTTCAGATTTTACTCCCTTTTTAGCGCAATAGAAGGATTCTTCTTCTATTTGAATTAATGTATCGTGATGGTGAATTAATGTATCCGAATGATGACTTATGTATTCGTAAGGTATAAATTTTAAGGAATTATTGTAATTAGAAAAAGAGTAGGGATAGAATGCAATTTACTCTTTACACTATGGATTTGCGTAAGTTATCCTACAAATAAACCATTAAGTTAACTAGTAATATTATTGCTATTAGTTTTATATTGGAAATAATTAATTTAGATTGATGAGATGTTAGCCATGTAACTTTTATACAATATTTTGGATGTTATTGTATAAAATTTTATTTATTAATATAAAAATGTGAATAATTTAATTTAAAATTCTAAAATATTCTATGACAAAAAGTAGATAATTTTAAATTATTTTTTTAACGGACTCTAACATTGTCAAAATAAATTTTTTTTTAGAGGAAACAATACAAATTCGGTTAGTTTAACTAGTAATTACGTTCAGACACAGTAGTTTCGCAAATTATTACCATTTGTACCATTTTTGGGTACACGCATATGACAAATTCAAATGATTTCTTCTCTACCACCTCAGATTGAATGCAGGCTTGAGTTATTTTTCTTATGGGCCAAGTGAAAATTTATTCTGGTAATGAGTGGCCAAGTCTCGAATATTATATTCAAGTGTGAGACTATCTCATCTAAAAACTTATATCATTAGAGAGAACACAGTTGTAGCTTTATTCCCCCAACTAAAAGTCCGTTCAGCAAAAATGACACTCTAATTTTTCTTTTTCTTTAAAATAGTGGACAAATCTGATGTTTCTAGATCAAAAACTCGATAAATAGCATGTCTGCCTTCTTAACTGATGGCAAGAACTTACACTCAAAAGAAGTTCCATAATAGCCTAGTTCATCGGAACATTATAAAAACATAACATGAAACTGTCACTACTTCTCAAATTACAGAACAGGTCTTTCCCACAAAGGAAAACTTCATCTTTTGTAGTGAGTTCATCCTCGCTTCTTTCTGAGTTCCGGATCCCTACAGCCAAGAGAAAAAAAAAATTCCCAAAAAGCAATTTAAGGATTTTAATCACTGAAGAGTTAACTAAACAGAAAGTTACTTCACGTAAAACATTATTTCACCTTTGTATATGATCAAGAATAAGAAGCCTTGGCCCAGGAGGGATCCTCACATCTCTAAGAGCACTGCAAAACAGGAGAATGGAGTGAGATTTAATTGTGAGAAATGCATAGAATTAATACACAGTTATATGGTGCAACATATCTTGCCTATCGGTGAGTAAAGGCAAAGTGGTGTCTGTCAACAACCCTTTCTTGAAATTCTTTTCATAATTTTGCAGGCCAAGGCTTGACAATAGTGATCTCGTTCTGACATAATGCGTATCTTCAGCAGGTGGTTGCGAAAACTTCCGCCCAAGCTGCATGAACACAACAAGAGAAGCTTTTAACGACTATCAGATATCGATGTTGGAAATTCACTCTATTCAACATCAATCAAAAACTAGGTGCCAACAGGGAAGGATAACTGGTATTTTTCCTATCCTTGGTCCTGAAAAGTTTCTTCATACCAGAATTCTCAATCTATCTTCAGAGCTGATGGACCTCAACGCAACATTAAAGTAATACAAGGGTTATACATGTCTGATTGGTCCCTAAACTCTATTGAGGACTTAAGAAGAGGACTGAAATAACCTAGGCCTGATTGGGTTTAACTGGAGCTTTTATTTGAAGTACTCCTTCAAAAACAGTTTCTACTTTAATACACCTGCCAACTGTAAACTTTCCATTTTACTCTACCTTTAAAAGAGAGAAGGGGGAGAGAGATAACATAGAGACAACTGAAACGATTCCGATATTGCTGAACCAGACAGTTTAATCATCAAAAAAGAAGAAATATATATTCTTATTGCACATTTAGGAATCCAATTCCACTGTGTTCATAGAATACATTGAAATCACAAATTTTAATTCTCAGTTCTGATGTACTCCCTCTGTCCCATATTACTTGTCTACTTACCCCTTTACATGCCCCTTAAGAAATCATAAATAAGAAAGGTACTTTTACTAATTTATGCTTCAACTCTTTTTAATACACTATATTTCTGTGCCTTAACCATCAATACCAAGACTAACAATGGAGGAACATTTTTGGAACTTTACTATATTTATACTTTCAAAAAGAATAAATTCAAGGGCAAAATGGGAAAAATAAATTAATTATATCTTGGTTTTGTAAATTGACAAGTAATTTGAAACAGATTTTTTTTAGTAATGTGGACAAGTAATATGAGATAGAGGGAGTACATCTGTTAACTGAGAAGGGACCTAGAAACAAAAGACAAAGATGGCTGACAATGAACAGAAACTGCATTAAACCACAGATAATTTATTGTTATTCATTAGTGGAATTTATGTAGAAATATTCTGAAAAAAAAAACAAAATGAATACCTTAATTATTGGAATAAATAAGAAACCAAGTCAAAATTTGAGATGGATGACAAACAACAAGTCAATCTGACTATGGAATTGACATAATATCAGACAGACAAGTTGAATGGTATGAGAATAGAGAGTACCGGATTGAACCAAACTACAACAGAAAATAAAAGGTGAAAAACAAAAGGAACTCAAAACAACGTTGCCATAAACCAGGGGTTGCATGCAAATAATTTTCTATACATAGGTAAACATGTTCATATCATCACATTAATAGAAATAAATTGGCCCTTCACCAGAGACATGCAAGGAAGTTTCTGCCTCTCAGGGGG